TTTGTCTTTAATTTATCAGTGATTTTTCTTTCTTCACTTTTTGTTGAAGATCGATTCTTTCAGTTTCTACGACTTCCTGCTCTCCACGGTTGATATTAGAAATGAGGGTTTTCTTGTAATTCTTTTAATCGTTGATGTTTCTTGTCACAGAGAAGATTGGAGTTTAATTACATATAATCAATCATGTTGAATAGACTATTTGGGAAACCTAAACAGGAGTCAAATGCCCTCGCCACGTTAGACAAGTTAAACGAGGTATGATGACCGATTCCTTTGCTTCTCATTTAATTTCTCGTTTGAATTTGGCTATTTGGTGAATTAGAATATTGTAACATTACTTTTCAAGTATTCTATGCGGTCGGTTTTGATGATCTGCGATTGCTTCATGTTGTATGTATGTATCTGTATTCAAATTAGGCTCCGTGGTAGCTGCTACTTAGTTTTTCTTTCTTTTTCCTTTTTGGTATCCATTGAACTCTAGTCAAATTTTTTCTAATTGATTGAAATGTTAATCGTAGGTGTTCCAAATAAATGCAATTATTTGCTTTTCTCTTGTATGATTTTTTAAGTTGGTCTAGTGCTCTTTCTGTTTTGCGTTTGGTCCAACTCTGCTAGAGTTATAACGCAACTTTACGATTTTGATACTGCTTCAACGTTCTATTTCCTTGTGATTTTGATACTGCTCCAACATTCTATTTCTGTTCTCATTCTGTTTTCATCTCTCTTTTGTAAAAATTTGGTTAACTAAGTCCATTGTCTTTTGCATTCTGCAGACCCTCGAAATGCTAGAGAAAAAGGAAAAAGTACTCCTGAAAAAAGCAGCAGCAGAGGTTGAAAAGGCTAAAGAATTCTCAAGAACAAAAAATAAAAGGGGTACTAATGTATAGAGATTGTTTAAAGTATTTCAGTCCTTTCTTTATGTTAGTGGTTTTCTTTAATGCTGTATATTCAAGATATTCAATTAATCCTTGCGCTTATTATTGTATATGGATAAATAGGAGTTACCTCCATAAAGAAAGAAGAAAAATAGAAGTACAGAAATATATTGAAATGGGGCGCCAAGAGGGTCCCAACCCATATACAAAAGGAGTTACAAGTCAATTAATATATTTACAATTAACCCCAAATCATCAAAATGGTTAATGTTATGTTCAAGCGCAATAGAACCAAAAATATGAAACCATTTGTTCAAAATGTTGCCAAAAGTGTCTTCCTTTCCTTCAAAAGCTTTGTTG